GGGGGGGTCTGGCCAGGTCTGGCCCCAGCCTTGCCCGGCCCCATGACACTGCACTTGCCTTAAACGCCAGTTGGATGGTGTCCAGGGTTCTGGACGGCCTGCAGACAACAGACAGGGCGATCACGACCTCCCGCAGGTCTACCTGGCCGGTGCCACTCTGTGGGCAGGAAGAGACATCACAGGTGATGGCCGGGCCACAGCTGCCCGAGGGGAATGTTACTGACCTGGCTACCTGAGGCCTGTCCTCCAGAAGTACATTCAAAACCAGCCTATTTCCCAGCCACGCTCTCCTGGGGACTACTACAATTCATTCATCCTTTCTGATGACCAGTGGGGAAGTGAAGGGGCCCCCTGGTGGGCAAAGTGGGTTTTGCATTGGGCTGCTAACCACAAGGCCAGCAGTTCAAAACCACCCCAGCCGCTCCTCAGGAGACAGGGCTTTCTACTTCTGTAAAGAGTTAACAGGAAACCCACAGGGGATGGTGGACCGCAGGCAGAGAGTTTGGTTTTGATACGTTTTGGTGGCACAGTGTTGGGATGCTCACTTCAAAGTTGGCAGTTCGAATCCACCAGCAGCTCCATGGGAGAAAGAGGAGGCTTTCTGCTCCTGTCAAGATTTTCAGCTTTGGGGACCCCCCCAGTGGCAGGTCTACTGTGTCCCAGGGGTTCGCTTCAAGCTGGAATCGACTCAATGGCAGTGAAAGTTTTTGAGCTCAAAGCTTGGCAGGTCCAATCCACCCAGAGATGGGTTCTAAGTCTGCCTGGCCACTGGCTTCTGGGTGCAGTTCTGCTCCCACACACACGGGGGTGCCAAGAGCCAGAACCAATTGCTGGGAACCATCTTCCCACCAGCAAAGCAAGCCTACTGCGGGTCAGCTGGTCCTGACACAGCAAAGCAAGCCCACTACAGGTCAGCTGGTCCTCATGCAGGGCAGCTCCAGGTGCCCCGGGCCTCCAGTGCAGGACAAGAGGCCGGCCAGCTCACCCGTGGCCCCTCTGAGGGTGCACTGAGGACTGCACCCATCGGGCAGAACATGGACCATTTAGAAAGTAAGGTCCAGTGGGGGAGTGTGTGCTATTGTCCTGGGGTATGGCTGGAGCTGCCCATGGCGGGGCAACCCTCTGGTTGCTGCCCCTGGGGCCTGAGGGCCATGTCCTCACCTAGTAGACTCTATGTGCAGCTGAGCGAGAGGGACCTGCACATGCTGCATCCAGGTGGATGCCTGCCACCAGAGAGGAGTCGAACACTCAGCTGCTAAGTAGGGGTCAGAGTTTCAAGGCCAGCAACTGCCCCTCCGGACAGAGACGAGGCCGTCTGCTTCCCTCGAGACGGTGGGCTTGGAGCCCTGGGGTCAGGTCTGCTCTGTCCCATGGGGCTGCTGGGGGTTGGAGCCGACGTGATGGCAGTGGGTTTGGTTTGGGCCAAGGTCACCCTGAGAGACACCACTAGGTGCCCAGGAACATCACAGTCTGAGAACAAAGGAAGATGTAATGCTCAAGAGAGCCCATCCCTGTAAATGACAGAGAGCCTGCCCCCAGTGACAGAGAGCCTGTCCCCAATGATAGAGTCTACTCCCCCAAATGAGATCTTACCCCCTACATGACAAAGATCTCCCCTCCACTCCCACCAATGAGCGAGAAATAACCCACAGGAAGGAGGCCGGTAGGAGGGGCAGGAGAGGGAAGTGACAGCCAGTGGGAGTCTAACACAGTGATGACCTGCAGTGCTCCGGAGGTGGGGCCCAGGCTAGGACGTAGGCCCGCTCAGTGTCCAGCACTCCACAGACTCCTGAGGGATGTCATTTTGGGACCCCAAGAATAAAGATCTCCCTGGGAGTCCCTAGAGCAGCTGTGACAGCAGGCACCAAGAGGACAAGGTTCTCAGGGGACCTTTGGCAGCGGAGCCCAGTGGGGGGGTTGGGCCTTCTCCTCCCGAGCCTGAATGCAGATGGCTGTGAGGGCGGAGAAGCTGAACGCGAGGAGACTGTGCCCCCAACAGCTCCAGAGCTGGGGAGCAGGGAGGAAAACAGCAGCCGATCATCTGGAACTAGCATCCAGGCCCTTACTGGGCCTGACGGCTGGGGCGGAGGCTGGGGGGCGCAGTGAGTCCTGAGCTGGACAGGGCAGGAGCCCAAGGGTGCTGCTGGAAACAGAACTCAGCCGCGATCAGGTGTGCACATGTGCACATGGACACACACCCGTGTGCTGGGGGCTCCTCTCCCAGACAGAAGGCCGGAGAAAACCTCAACAGGGACCAACTGGCAGGAAACATGTGGTTTCAAAAGTCCTAGGGGGACCAGGGCACTCTGTGGGTGGGGTGAGGGGGGGGCCCTGGAGACCATGGGGAGACCATGTCTTGGGGAACTGCTGTTTGATATTAACAACCCTTTGTGACCCCCATAGGGCAGGGCTGAACTGCCCCAGTGGGTTTCTGAGACTATAACTCTTTACAGGTATAGAAAGCCTAGTCTCTCCCCCGAGAAGCAGCTAGTGGTTTCAAACTGCTCACCTTGCGGTTAGCAGCTCAACGCGTAAGCCACTGCATCATGAGGGCCCCTCCATGTTAGGATAGTAGGTCACAAGGACAAAGCCCAGAGTGCTAGGACAGGAAACCCAGGGAAGAAGGTGGATTCGAGAGGGCTCACGGGGTGGGGGGGCGGGGTCAAGGATGAGTTGAGACACAGTGTGCATGAACTGCTGCATGGAAAACCAAATCCCCACCTGCTCCATATAGTCTCCCTCATCTCCAGACAAAATGGAGTCCCTGCTTGTGTTTAAAAGCACCGAGAGATCTCCTTGATGGGAGATGGGTAAAGCCTAGTTTGGAAGACCGGATGTGGGTGTCCCTCGAGAGCCCTGGGACGCCTACCAGGGGTGTGTGAGTGTGCGCGCGTGTGTGTCTCTCTTGGACCGGAAACCTCTGTTGTTTCCGGTGGGGGATGTGGCCCGCGCGCCCCGCGCCAACAGCCCACCTCGTCAAACAGTGAGAACATAGCCTCCAGCGAGTCGGACACCGGCACCTCCAAATACTCGGCGAACCCCGATAGACTGGCCGTCGCCCCCGCCTGCAGCCTCGCCCGCTCAGAGTACTTCTCCAAGTCCTTCTCCAGCTTTCTGGGCTTCAGCCTGAAGGAGAAGGGAAAGAGGTCTGTTCTGGCTTCCTCCTAATGCCCACTAACTGCAAGGTTGGCAGTTCAAAACCACCAACCACCCCAAGGGAGCAAGAGCAGGCTTTCTCCTCCCATAGAGTTATAGTCTCAAAGGGTCATTGTAAGCCATCAACTTGTTGCGTAGTGTGTTGTTTTGGGAGGCTATTTTTGGACTATAAAAAAATTAAGTCAACCTATAAATAGACAACCTATAAATAGATTTCCCCCCCACCCCCCACCCCGGTGGGTTTTTGAGACTGTTACTCTTCACAGGAGTAGAAAGCCCCGTCTTTCTCCCGTGGAGCGGCTGGTGGTTTCGAACTGCTGACCTCACAGTTAGTATGAGTAGGAATCAACTATATGGCAGTGAGTCGGCTTCAGAGTATAACAAAGACGGGTTTTCTGCTCCCATTTAGTTACAGTCTGGAAACCCGCAGGGGCAGTTCTGCCCTGTCCTGTCAGGTTGCCGTGGGTCAGAATTCACTTGAGGACCGTGAGTTTGGGTTGGAACATCATTACAAAATGCTGGGGAAATGGCTATTTCACAGTATTTCACAGAAATGGCTATAACAACAGTATTGTTGTTTGCAGAACTGAAGACTGGAACTATGTCAACAACTAGCAGTGAGCTGGTTTTAAATGCAAAAAGTTTTTCTGGTGCCATGCAGATGCCCATGCAAGCCTCTTCCAGGGGCCCCCAAAGGGACCCTGGCCCCTCTGTGCTGAGCCTGTCCACCTGTGACCTCTGTCCACACTGGGCTGTGGATTCTCACAAGCTACTGCCAACTCCTGGGGGCGGGTATCCTAGGGGCCCAGGAGGAAGGTGGGCAGAGGCTGGACCAACAAAGGTGGCTGTGTGGCCCCCATATCCAGAGAGGCTCCCACATCCTTGACCTTCCTGGTGTCCATGTGATTGCCCCTCGGTGACAGTGCTGGAGCCACAGGAGGCTCTGCAAAGGGAGGCAGTGACCGGACATCAGCTGTCAGCCTTGGGGACAGCTTGGCCTGGCCAAGGGGGCTCACTGAAGCAAAGACCCCAGAGAAGGTCCCAGGAGTCCAGCGTGGTGGAACCGAGGCCAGGAGACTGACTGGCCATATTGGGACCTTGGCATCCCTGTGTGTCAGAGCAGAGCTGCATCCCACAGCACTGTTAGCGGCTAATATTCCACAAGCGGCCGGCCGGACCTGGCTTCCAAGGTACCTTGGGGTAGACTTGAAGTTGCAGCTGAGCTCACGGCCCGCCTGCCCCCACTGCCTAGCTCCCACTGCCTAGCTCCCTCTGCGGCCCGGGGAACCCAAGTTTCCCTCAGGGTGCTCACCCGAGGCCTCTCATGAGCCGGGCGAATTCCACAAGGCAAGTGTCCGAGGGGAGACGGAGCTGGCCTTCCGCCAGGGCCAGCTGGCAGTCCTCAAACGTGTAGTCTGTAACGGAGACCCCCAGGGCCCTGTGGGAGAGATGAGTGACACCCTGAGGGGCAGTGCCCAGCCCCTGGGGACCCTGAG